TTAACCACACAGGATATTGAGGTATGTAAACCTCAACGTGTAGTCTATTGTGTAGATGTGGAAGCTATGAATACTCTTAGAGGCTTGGTCCCGGGTCAAGTATTCGAGACTAACACGGATCCTTCACAGTCATCAGCAGAAGGAAGAGGTTTAATCGAGGCTGAAGCAGGCACTGAAAATAACTTTACAGTCACTACGCGAGATTCAAAGGGAACTCAGTGTTATTATGAACAAGACCAACTGACTGTAATAGTCCGCTCTCAAAAAGGAGAAGAGGAGGAAACGAAAATTGACGACTGTAAGAATGGAACCTACGTAGTGCGTTACAAGCCAAAGAGTGTTGGCTTACGTGACATTTCTGTTGTGGTGAATGGCCAACCGCTAACTGGTAGTCCTTGGAGAGTTGAGGCGACTAATCATCGGTACAAAGTTATTCATTCATTTAGATTACATGGGACAGAACCTGTAGAATTTAAAGGACAAGTTAGCATTGCAGTGAATAAAAGAAATGAAAAGATTGCTATAGCAGATTTTAATAATCACAGAGTTGTGTTGTTTGATGAAGAGTGGAAATATCTGAGAACAATAGGAGACAAAGAGCTTAATGCTCAGAGAATCAAGTTTCCTCGTTTTGTGGAATTTACAACATCTGATGAAATCATTGTCATTGACGGAAAATATTTTCAACCGAGTAAGATGTTTTTGTTCACTGAACATGGAAACTTCATCAGAGTCATCGGTCAGCGTTTGATAAGTCCTTTGTCCGTATCTGTCAGAGATGATGGTCACATGATCGTGTGTGACTCGGGCGACAACTCAGTCAAGATCCTCTCCCCTGACGGTACAGGATTAGTACAGTCCTTCAAAGGACCTCACGCTTCTCATTACCCGGCTTCTGCTGTTTATCATGAGAACAAGTTTTTTGTCTTATATCACCCATGTTACTATGTTAAAGTGTTCAACAATGAAGGACTTTATCTGTATGATATTGCCATGAAGCATGCTTTTGGATCACTTAGAAACAGCCTCACCATCGACGCGTTTAACAACCTGGTCGTGTGTGACAATAGTAGCAGCAGCGTTCATGTGTTTTCTTTGGATGGAAAATATATTAATTCGCTTAAAAAAAGAATTGTTTCTCCCTGGTCCGTCGCTACTTTTGGAGATAACAAGTTGTTGGTTTTCGATAATATAGACAATCTAATCTATGTTTTGCAGTAGAAAGTGAACATTACTCGGAAGTTATTCTGATGCAACTCTTTCAATGTGATCGTTATTTTGCTATTTTCGTTGTAAGTTATGACCCTTTTTTTAACAGCGGTCGAATTATTCCTCGTCGGCTCCGAATAAATAGCAATATTGGAAATTGGACTTTGCAATTTTGAAGACAGCTTTGTTTTAGTTTTGTTTTGTTCAAGGTTATTCCTTTTTTTTTTCGTCGTCTTTAAGTTTGTCTCCTTTTATTAGTTGTATGCGATTATCTTTCACAATAGTAAATAAAGTTTTGTTTGATTTGGCGTGAAAATTGTTATGAAAGAGTGCTATCTTGAACGGAGGGGAAATGAAGATTTTCGGTCCACTGGTCTCATTAGAGGAGGCCCACATACTATAGTAAGTTGCCTTTACTGGTATGCAGTAGGCTCGTCAAATACTAACCCTGGGGCTGTGTAAAGCGCCAGTTGTTACTGGTCTCCCTGTGACTAAACATCTAGAGTACTTGCATTATGTGTGAGTGACTGAGACTGATTTGTCTTCTTTTAGGTTTGAATATCCTGCTCATAATTGGGTCGTTTACTCAGTGAGATTATGAAAAGGTTGGAGCAATATTTCTCATGCTGACTTATTCCTGTTATTAAGCGATCAAAGTTTTGTGTGTCACCTTCGGTGTAAACCTCAAAAATGGTGGAGACTAAATTGAATCGTAATCAGTAATTTAATGCCTTAGTCTTGAAGTTAGTTTTCACCCACTCCCTTCTTACTATCTGTCGTCAAGGTGCGCGGACTGAAATTTTAACCGAGGGAATTGTATTGAATAGTAAAGACATTTTAAGATAATTCAAGCACAGTGTGTTTCTGATGTGATATTTTGTTACCTTTTCGTTCTAGAGACCTATGCCGGCGTGTTAATCATGAGTAGTATAGGAGATGGCGGAGCGTGACCACTTTGAAAAAGTGATCTCTTACAAACGTCAACTCTCTACAGTACTTTCCATTTCAAGGAAATAAAAGATGGAAATAATTTTATGGATGTAAAAGTTGGAAATAATTTTATGGCACCATTTCATCATATGAAAGCGTGGAAATACTGTAGGAGAGTAATGATACGATCTCAGCATTTCTCCATTGCGTTACATTCTCAGGAAATCAGGGACTTTCCCGAGGAAATGAATCATAGTATTGCTATTGTTTTAGTCATATGATAATCGCATGATTTTTTCACATAGATAAAAATCTCAAACAACAGTATGATGAATTGTAACTCAGAGATTCACAATGATTTTAAGAATATGGAACAGTTTGTTTGTCCATTTAGTCTTGAGCAATTTCAAGAACACATAATAAAAAGTGAACCAACCTTTGAAAATGTGAATTTGACAAATATGAATAAACAATATTTTTATATGTCACAGTCAGGTTGAAAGATATTATATAGATTTAGCTAAGCCTTAAAGCGGAGCTCTTGTTAGTTTATTTTCTAGCCCTCAATTATACTGAATAAGTACTGTAATAAAATTCTTCAGCACTGGCTGTAAAAGAGTTTCTTCAAGGGGATTTAGAGACCACTTCGAGGGGTGGGGAGGGGGGAAAGAATTGACGAGGTCTGGAAGCTGGGGACGATGTTCTTACAACTAGCAAGGCGATCAACACGCATGCTAGTCAACGGTATCTTCATACAGCTTGGGACCTTCGTCGTTTTTCCAAATGTTCTGAGCAAATTTTCGATGATAGGGAATGTTTTCTTCTTCAGATGAAGTGTATGATATGAGCTTCAGTGAAATTATATTCTATTGAGCATGAGTTATAATTTTGGTTTGGAAAAATGAGCCATAATTGAAAGAAACGAAGGTAAACTACTTTGCGTTAAGACATCAGTGGTCAATGGAAGAATATACACATGAGCAACAGTAAGTCAGTAAAGTAATACGCCAGAATCGCGTGGGCTTCTCTTATATCTTCTCTTGAAGTTGCCAGGTATGACTGGTTGCCTCATCGTTTTTCCTTAACGTTTCAAACTCCTCTGTTTAGCGTAGAAAATTAGAAAGAAAAGTAATATTAAACTCGTGTTTGAACCTGTAATTTTTCTAAATTTTTTCGCTATCGGCTATTCTTGAGGTTGGGCTGTCAGGGTGAAGGAACAGAGGATTTTAGTAGGCAGTGACTTTTTCAAACCTGGAAACTATCATCATGAAAGCCATACTTGTGCCTGCTACTCAAGAAGTGGGGAGAAACACTCGACTACGTCTCGTGTTTCTCCCTACACTTCTTTCGTGCTCTAGCCGCTTCCTGCGTGCTTTATAACAGAACAGAGCACAGTCAAGGCTTCTCTATTTGTAAAATAAAATTTGGTTGAAAAATTAGAATGTAGCATAGGCCAGATAAATAAGATTCTTAGGAAAAGGAATGTGTAGTGATAAAAAAGTTAAGCAAACTTTTTTACGATATCTGCCTGTACCTATATGGCAAGTTGTAAAGTCATTTGAATACTCATAATCCCAGTTTTATATGTTAAAACACACATGCATGCAGGTTTCCTATAGACCTGTGGTTCAATGCCATGACTTCAAAATTTTCATGCACACCTCAAAAGGAGATCAAGTAAATTTTAAGTTTCTAGTTATTCAGTTTAGGTTGATGAGGTATAATTGAGTCAAACATTCATACGACAGGTTCAAGAAATTTCACAACTCATTTATGTGGTTAACTTACCTAGAACAATCACCTTCATGTACAAAACAGACTGTAGTTTGTACTGACAATGCACAAAAGAACTATCTGGGGTAAGAGGGCAGGCTTTCCTTTCTTCAATCAAAAAATACTAAGGTTATCATCTTTCCACAAGCTCAGTGGAAGTGAGAGTGTATGAGACTGCTAGTGACTATCAGTTATTTTTTGTTATGAGAAAAAATCCAGAGTAGGATAAAAAGTAAGATATGGTCTGCAAATCTCATTTATTTTAATTTTTTAACCTAGAAGCTAAGGCATTTATATTTTTCCTTCGTGCATTATGTGGAAGCCAATTAATTTAAATTTCATTTGTCAAATAACAAAAAATGTCATTTTCATCTATGTGCCCCTAAACATTAAAGGGGAGGAGACAGGTCACAGTTAAAACAAGAATTAAAAAAGGAAGGCCTCCATTAATTTCAGTCCTAATTAAAGCAGGATCCTTGCTTTTCCAGATTCTCACCCTTTAAAACTCACAATCTTGTGACTAATTCTTTATATCCATGTTTTGTTTGAGTATGAGCAAATTGGTAAGAAACACCATGCATTAATGAAGCCTTGAGCAAGAGTATTTAATGCAATCGAAATAATAATATTACATATTACAATGTGGTAACTTACACAGCAAAATTATAGAATCACACAATTCCAAACAAAGGAAGTCAGGTTATTGACTCGCCTGCTTAAACTTTTTAGGGCTTGAAGTACAGAGAAATAGATATAATGGTAAACAGTTACATTTAATACAAAGTTGAAAGTTTGAAAGCTAAAAGATATACATTAAAACCATCAAAACCAATGCATCTTAGCAAAAAAAGACTTAATTACCACCATAACTTCTCCCAAACATTCATACCAAAAGGAAATCATTAATTTTTGTCACTAGGTGGTACTATACTTACAATAGCTCTACTGACACAAATGTATTTTTCTAAAGTTATCTCATAGCATATGACTGTAAAGATCATGTGGAAGGTTCCTGTATGGGGACTGACATTTTAATTACCTCAGCAAACTGTAATCATCAGGAGTGCAAGTTAACTGAAGGTGTATTTACTAAGTACTCGATTTTCTTAACTAGTCACCTAGTTTTTACAGTCGAGTTTACTCCTTTTTTAGGCTGTCTTCAGCTTGATCATCCTGTTACATGTGAAAACATCAAATGTTACTCACATACTCAGATAATTACCTGAATCAAAAGTTATAATTTTTTTAATAGCCTGTTCCTTTGATTGTGCTCCATAAATAGTAAATGGTATTGAAGGGAAAGGAAGAGAGTTCTTGAAACACTCTTGAAACTTTGCTATGAATGTAAATTACAACTGCAACAAAAACATCTGTGAAGCTATTATAACAGTTACGTTTCTGTGTAAACAAACCATGAAGCATGATATGAATAAATCTAATCTCACCCAGTTTGAATGTAGAATTCAAAATCTACTTAACTTGCTGGTGAATATGATAAATCTCAGCGTGTTTTTCTTGCTACTGTCATTCTCAGAACATCAGAAAATCAATCACGTAACCACTTTGGTGTGACTTTCTTGACGATGTGTACTTTTTCATCTACTTTTAGTATCTATCTTTTACCTGCTGAGAATAATTAAGTCCACACTGGTAATTTGACTCATTGTAGGCAAACCCTACAACAAATCAAATTTTATTTGATCAAAAACATGAAGGGCAATAGAGGAAATTAGCTAGCACAATTCAAGTTCCACTTCTTCAGTATTCTGTGATCATTTTTTCTCTCATATGGTAAAGTTTACAGTTTCCTTCATTTTACTGTCTTCTGTTCATTTGTTTGTTTGCTTTCCTAACAATCTTAACTATGGTTACCAACAAGTGCCAGGAGCATATATTCATATTGCTTGAATATATGATTGCGGTAAACGAAGTGCCCAGTGACATCATTCTATGGTCATCTACTCTTCCACCTTGGAGGATGCCTTGTGTTCATAAAAACGGAAGTTTAGTGCCTTTAGTAGCTTTTTTTGCCACAAAGATCAACAAAGAACAACAGCTGCACTAAAAACCTTTTTTAAGACACCTCTACAATGGTAGGTACACATAACTGACATGTATGAGTAAAGCATGTCAAGCATTAAGGTATGATTGTTAATTTACTTTTCATTACTTGCAAACAGCTTCTTTCTATCAGCTTTGAAAACTTATGTATCCCTGCTTTCAAAGAAAAGCATTTCCCATGAAAATTTAAACATTAAAGACATACTAAGCTACCAGAAACAGGGTTTTTTCATTGTAAGTGTTTCACAACATGCCGTTTCTCATCACGCTTTTTTTTTTTTGTTACATTTGAAAGTACAACAATATTTTAATCATTACAGGATAATGAAATCCCCCATTTTAACCCTTTAAGTCCCATTAGTGACCCAGACAGAATTTCTCCTTACACTATCAGTATGAGATCAAGCAGACAAGTTATATGCGCGTTTTTCTGGACTCGCTTTACGCCTTTTACTTCTTGCTTTCTTTGGTCGCTCTGTCTCTTTCTTTCCAGCCCATTTTCACTCAAAATCCTCTCTCCACGAACTTGAATTATAACAATTTCCTCCGGTTGACAAAGCCTTAGCTAACCAAAGCTTTAGGTATTCTTGCTTTGCGAGTTGATTAGAAATTGCAAAATACTGAGAATTACTGTCCAATTACAACCTCACCAGTCTGATTTCCTGCTCAAAACGCGGATTGCAAGTTATTTGCTTATGCGGCTTCACATCAGCTAGCCCACGTGAAGCCCTCGTGTAATGCCCAACCGTGTTCCCACGGTGTGCTGCACTTAAGCTCGGCACTCGAGTATGCGCACTTCATTGTCATCTGCCGGTGTCTTTTAGCGCACACTGATAGGGTATCCAAGTAACGCATGCAATCGCGCCTGCGCATTACCTTCTCCCTCGCCCATCCATTACGTAGTGGCTAAGATATTGCCCGCAATGCAACTGGCCACGCATGCTAAAATAGCACCTTGTACGGTCGGTCGAACGGTCTCAAGTACAAATTTTTTCGGCTTGATGGGTTACCACTTTTTTGTATAATAATGGGCTACGCTGCGAGCTCCGTTATTATGACGTCACGACACAGCTATCGTGGTCTGAATGTATTAAATGAGCTTCTTTTAGATTAAAAAGCATTGGCAGCGTTATGATTCATTTCCTCGGAAAAAGTCCGCGTCGAGTTACATCATTGATTTCCTGTTTTTCTGAGAATGTCAAGCAATGGAAAAATGCTGTGAGATCATATCGTTAGTCTCTCACAGTGTTTCAACGCTTAGATATGATAAAGAAAGGAAATGTCGGAGAAATAAATGGCGGACCGTTTTAAGGAGTTGACTGTTAGTGTTTGTTCGATCGTATTTCAGAGAGTCGTTTCTGGCGGGGATTAGTTGCTTGTGGATCTTCAAGTAGGGAGACAAACTGAAAAAAACATACGTATCTCAACGTCAAGACGCTAAAATGCGAGAAAGCTTTGTGAAAACTCGTCTAATCTTATCTTAGGTGGTCAGTTGATTCATAAAAAGACGCGCTAAGATGTTTTTTTTGGGTCTTTTTTTTCCACCCAAAACGTTCACGATTCGGAAGCTAAAGATCGCAGCATAGAGGCTTTAACTGTTTTTCTCACTTGTCATCTTATCAGGTAAAATTCCCAAACTGCCGCAAAATTTATTGAAAACATTAAATTTTCAAATACTGTTGAAAAAATAATGAATAAAAAAGATCATCTGACTAGAGGAAACTTTGAATAGCATCACATCTTGAACAGTTCTCTGCCAAAATATAGATAAAATGCAACGAAGCTGCAAAGAAAGCTCCTTAGCTTTAAAACTCTTTAGGGTGGCCAATTTACGTTATCAACTCAGGTGATAATACTAAATTACCCCGTTGAACGCACTGTAGTTTTCTTTGCAGCTCCGTTGCAGTTGACCAGTATTTTAGCAGGGGATTGTGCTAAAGAAATTCAAAATTCTTTACGTCATCAACTCAGTTGATAATTCTAAATTACCCTGTTATACTCTCCCACTGACGCAGTACCACAAGTAATGTAAAACTTGCAAGAGCTTTTAGCAGCTATTAGTGACACATTTATTGAAAGAAGGCAAAACCAGAAAAAGTAGGGAGGCTCTGTAAGCAACATTACAAACAAATCAATGGATCGCTCTTCTCAAAAAGTTCAAGGAGAATAAGTGATATTTCCTAGTTTAGAGTTGCGAAGCACTAATTTTTCATCTGATCCAGAAAATGGACATTTGGCCTCAAAGATTCCAAAAGAATTTTGTCTCCATGAAAGGTCATAAACAACACCATTTGGTGAAGCCCCCAACCAACAAAATGCTGAGTTAACCCTCAGTCCACTCTTGTGTAGCTTTTTATTAGGGCCACGATCAACATACTCTTTTGCAGTCCTGATCTCTTTGGTTAAACCATACTTCATAGCTGGTGTCTGGATTATTTTTCCCTTGAAACAGTTCATTCAGAAACTCTCTGTGACGGCCGCCTTTCTTTTAATAACTTGGCCAAACTGAGATGTCGTGATGCGCTTTGCTCTCTCTACTTTCCACTTTGCACGTCCAGACTGCTTTCTCGAGTCACATTCAAGTTTTTATGCATCTTTTGGTGACAAGGTAATGAAGCTAAGATCTACAGTTTGAAATCCATGTACATATTCATTCCAGTCATCACTAAGGATGAGAAGTTCTGATGGTAACTCACTCTATATGTTTGAATGATTTCCAATACAATCAACTGAAGGTAACTGGCAACTTAGTGGACTGCCTTTAGAGTGTTCACCATAAACAGTTGAAGCCGTTGAAGTATCATTTTCTACATGAAAAACCGGTGTGGCAGGGCATACCTTTTTGAACTTCTCTTGGAACTCTCGAAATATTTCTTTACTCTGCTCCGGGTCCTTCTCTTCGAAGATATTGAATCATAAAGGCAGAACGATGCACTTCTTGTTTGCTTTCCTACTGACGGTTCTGAAAAATTGAGCAGCATCCAGGGTTGTAGGTCGATTTTTGCACCACTAGGAACATGCTATTTTTGGGGCTTTGAAGTAAAAGCAGAAGCACCATCACTCTCCTTCATAGAATTCAACACTGCGTAGGCTAAAGCTGAGAGATGATGACAATGTCCCTGTCCGGCTTTTTGCAAGAACACCTTCTAAACACAATATTCGACCTTGAATCGCTGAAATCCAAAATCATTTACATTTCATGCGGCTTCTCCGACTTAAACATCGATCGATAAGATTTTCCTTTCAGCTTCGTGAAAGGTGACAAAAGATCATGAACATAATCTTCCACGAAGAACGCCTGAGCCCTCTGATCCGATTTTTTTTTCCCTTGATAAACTCCTTTCAGTACTTTCTAGTTAAACTTTTACAGGTTTTTCCACTATTAGTTGTCATTTTTTGTAAGCGTTTTAAGAAAAACAGAAATGCAAATGAATAATTTTATAAATTAGCCATGTGCTTCTAATCTAGATGGCGGAGGTATACCTCCAGTGACCAGTTCCCACGCGGCATGCAAAAAGTCTATTGTCCTTTACGAGTGTGGTCGTGTTTTTTCATCTGCAGCCGTGTGAGTAGGCATGCATAGGAGCTGTGAATAATTGGTTAGGGTTTCTTCCAGTAGCTTTTATTATTGGGGCTTTGAAGAGAAGCAGAAGACCGTTCCTCTTTTAGGTGCCGTAAGTATACAAGCAGAAACTTATTCCGACAAGTGTGTATTTAATAAAAAAGTTCCGTAGGTTCCATTTCTCCCGTCTAACTGTTATTCGAAAGTAAAAACAACAACAAGAAACAAAAACAAAAACTCCCCCCTAGAAACAGAATAAATAACACATCGAAAGACTTCAAAGGCTACACTTGTAAATCTGAATAGGGTGAAGAGGGTGAGGGCTCATTAGGTGACTGATCCCTCCCTTACGTCTCGTTTTATGCATGATCAGCGATGTGACGTGTCAACCGCACCCAGCTCTCAACTTATTCAGCTAGATATGGATGTTAAACAGCTGTTTACAAATCTCAAGAAGGAAGCCGAGTGTCCACTGTGTCTAGAAACAGTCAAAGATCCTAAGACACTACCATGTCTGCACTCATTCTGTCTGCGGTGTATCGACAAACACGCAAGATATGCAAGAAGAAAGTTAGAAACGACGATCAAATGTCCAGTTTGTCAGGCTTGCTTTCAGATCCCTGAAGGAGACACGTTTGGCAATCTTCCCACATCTTTTCATCTCAACCGATTGGTAGATCTCCTCGTTCTGAGTGATGTCAGCGAGGAGGCTCAGAGATGCAGCAGTTGTGAAGAAAACAACGCAGCAACTTGCTACTGCTTTGTTTGCCAGAACTTTCTTTGCAAGGATTGTTTTGATGCTCATCAACGCCTGAAGACCACAAGAGGTCATCGCAATGTTTTGATCGAAAACTTGCAAGCGCCAGATGTGGAGGACTTGATGCACAGACCCGGTATGTGTTTAAAGAAATATCACGAGAATGAACCGCTTGATTATTATTGTCAAGACTGTAGCGTTTGTATTTGCCACAAGTGCAGTATAGTGAGTCATAATAGACATTCTTTAGTAGACTTACAGGAGGCTGCCGAAGAACAAAAGATGCAAATAACGCAAGTCTTTGCCAGAGTTAAGGAAAAACTTGTTACCGTAATGTCAAAGATATCGGAGCAAATTGAACTCATGAAAAAAAGCGAAGAAGAAATCTGCGCCGCTGAAGAGAAGGTTACGAAAACTGTGCAAGAAATTATTCGAATTGCGAAGGAACATGAAACGGGTGTGAAAACTAAGCTGGCAGAAATTAAAGTCACGCAACAAAGGAATTGCGCAGCAAAAATAGAAATTTTTCAGGTACTCGCTGCTCAGCTAAAGAGTTCTGTCGAATATGGCGAAGGTATCGTACAACGAAGCATCGGTCCTGAAATTCTGCAAGCAGGACATGCTGTGCTTGGTCGATGCGAGGAACTCTTAACCACACAGGATATTGAGGTTTGTAAACCTCAACATTTCGTCTATGGTGTAAATGTGGATGCTATGAATACTGTCAGAGGCTTGGTTCCGGGTCAAGTATTTGAGACTAACACGGATCCTTCACAGTCATCGGCAGAAGGAAAAGGTTTAATCGAGGCAGAAGCAGGCACTGAAACTAACTTTACAGTTACTACGCGAGATTCAAAGGGAAGTCAGTGGTATGGTGAACAAGACCAACTGACTGTAATAGTCCGCTCACAAAAAGGAGAGGAGGAGGAAACGAAAATTGACGACTGTAAGAATGGAAGTTACGTAGTGCGTTACAAGCCAAAGAATGTTAGCTTACGTGACATTTCTGTTGTGGTGAATGGCCAACCACTGACTGGTAGTCCTTGGAGAGTTCAAGCGACTGGTCACCAGTATAAAGCTATTCATTCATTTGGATCACATGGGACAGGACCGGGACAGTTTAAAGGACCAGTTAGCATTGTAGTGAATAAAAGAACAGAAAGGATCGCCATAGCAGATTTTTCTAATCACAGAGTTCAGTTGTTTGATCGTGAGTGGAAATATCTGAGAACAATAGGAGACAAAGGGTCTCATGCTAAGAGAATCAGGTATCCTTGTTCGGTAGAATTTACAACATCTGATGAAGTCATTGTCATTCATGGAGAAGGTTTAAAACCGAATAAAATGTTCTTGTTCACTGAATATGGCGACTTCATTAAAGACATCAGTCAGCATTTGATTGATCCTTCCTCCGTATCTGTCAGAGATGATGGTCACATGATCGTGTGTGACAAGGGCGACAACTCAGTTAAGGTCCTCTCCTCTGACGGTACAAGATTAGTACAGTCCTTCAAAGGACTACACGGTGTTAGCTCTCCGGCTTCTGCTGTTTATCATGAGAACAAGTTTTTTGTCTTAGATGGCATATATAAATTTGTTAAAGTGTTCAGCAACGAAGGACTTTATCTGTATGATATTGGCAATGGGGAATCTTGTGCAGGGCAACCTTTTGGTTATGGAGAGAAACTCACTATTGACGCGTTTAACAACCTGATCGTGTGTGACATAAAGAACAGCAGTCTTCATGTGTTTTCTTTAGATGGAAAATATATTAATTCGTTTAATGAAGGAATTGAATCTTCCTGGTCTGTCGCTGCTTTTGAAAATAATAAGTTGTTGGTTGGCGATTATAAAAAGCATGTAATCCATGTTTTTCAGTAGAAGGTGAACATTACTCAGCAGGTATTCTGATGCGATTCTTTCCATGTGATCGTTGTTTTCGTAATAAGTTATTACCTTCTTTTTTCACAGCCGATGAAATATTCCTCGCAGGCTCAAAAAGAAGAAAAAAAGAAGAATAGAAATTGGACTTTGTAAATATTTCTTTGTTAGTTTATTTCTTTTTTTTTCGTCGTCTTTGCGTTTGTCTCCAGTTATCAGTTGTATCAAATTATCTGTCAGATCAATAAAGTGTTTGATTTTGTGTGAAAATGATTGCGAAAGAGTGCTATCTTGAAGGGGGGGGGGTATAAGATTTTTTTCCACATCGGCGTTAACAAAAAAAAGACTACTTTCGGTCAATAAATCTCATTCGAAGAGGTCCACATATGGTAGCTTGCTTTTACCGGTATGCATCAGGCTCGTCAAATACTAACCCTAAAAGTGTGTAAAGCGCCAGTTGTCACTGGTCTTCCTGTGACTAAACAGTTAGAGCACCTGAATTAAGCCTGAGTGATTGAAATTGTTTTATTGAAGAATTCAGGGCCTATTTTTTAGCTGCTCTCACAACAACTTAATGTAATCAACTTTTCCCTGAAAAGTTTTGACAGAAATAATCATACGGACAATTTTCAAGGGAGAATGGAAAGTATTCCTGGGTAGCCTGCGGGGGGGCCCTAATTACTAGCGTTTCGGCGTGCGCGTTTGACCCGAAGCAAAAGTACGAGGCCTTGAGTAACGCGAGCTAGTGAGAGGTCTGGAAGGCCTCATTATTAGTGCCAGACCCCTGGAAAACCTCTCCACGACTCGTCTCGAATCTTCCCGTGAGTAGATTAACGCTAATCAGGAGGCTCTGCACGTAGGCTAAATCCTTTGCGAATTGGCGTGTCTTCACTGTAAATGACCCGTAAATTCACGCCTCCCCCGCAACCAAACAGAAAAAACTAATCGCAGCTAAGTTACCCTCGTGTTTGCTCTCCTCCCTCAAAAGGATTGCTTATTTCACTCTGAGTTCTCACTGTCTAGATCTCCTTGTAATATTTACATTAGTCATACCGTTGTGATTAACTTGCTTTTAGTTTTACAAAAATCAATCGAACTGCACTCTGATAGGAATACATTCATTGTGTGGGTATTTGTCGATTAGAAGACGAGAATGACTTGGTTTTCATATCCAAGATGAAAATACTGCTCTATCTGTCGTCTTAACCCCTTTCCATGCATACAATATCAGATCAGAAACCTAAAATATTGGCTCGAAACTGCAGACTTAGATCCAGGCCTTCCCTTTTATCCTTTTATTTGTGTTCTCTATCTTTTTTTTTTTTTTTTTTTTCGCGTTTTCTTTTTATTAAATGCGTTTTTTTTCTTCAAGGCCTTCGCATTTTTTCACGCTTCTTTTGCCACTGAAGTTAGGTTAAACTTAAATCCAAGAATTAAACGCCATTTTCCCGTGTTCTACAATTCCAAAGGCATGGAGTCTTTTAACAGATGTCTTTAACATATAGCACTGTGGAACTAAGTCTGATTACGGAAGCAGAGATGTTATTATCAGCAATGGATGTATGTGCCCCCTATAACACATATGCCATTGGATATTCAGCTTTAAATAATTTCTCTAGAATTTTTTCTTTTTTCGAGGGCTTGTTTAAAGGCGTGTCGAATTTGTTCTTGTCATGTCTTGTTCCAAAGTCTCTCATCTTGGTGGGTAAACTAGAATAATTTTCTGCATTTGTGTTTTGTGTTGCTTTTTTTGCTTGCTTTTCTTTGATATTGAACTTGATGACTATGAGAATGTTTTTACTGTTGTTTTTTCCTTTATCTTTGCAGGTAACAAATGTGTTTGTGACTTTTCTAACGCGGCTGAAGCTCGCTGTGAGAAAGGACAACTTTTTAAGGTAGGCATTGACATAGAACTGAAATGAAAGACGCAATAAGACAATAAAACAGAAAATGTGGAAAAAGTTAACAATTCAAGGTAATACACAATATTTAGACCTACCACCTGAAGTATTGAAACAGTATAATGACATAGAGTTCTCAAGCATTAAAATAACACTAGTAGAAGCAAGTAAAAAGAAGAAGAAAGGAACTGTTTACCTAATTCTATATGGTGATATGGAACCATTGTCATTTAAAGCGAAATTTAAAGTAGGTGATAAGGTTCGAATATCTAAATATACAAGAAAGGCCTTCAATACAGTATATACTCCAAACTGGAAAGAGGAGGTGTTTACTGTTGATAAAATCCAATACACTGATCCAATCACTTACAAAATAAAAGACCTGAATGGTGACGAAATTAAAGGAAGTTTCAACACTGAATAATTGTTAAAAGTAAAGCAAGATGTGTTCAGAATTTATAAAGTCATTAGGAGAGATTAGAAGAAGAAACAAGATCTTTGAAGTAGAAGGTATACAGTGATGAATTCAATAGTTGGATACCCTTCAAAGATTTGCAAAATATATAAACATCTCCCATGAACCTTGAAACGCAGTAAAAAAGGTTTAAAATTTATAGTCAATTATATATATGGAGAAATAGGAAAAGAGAAAAAGAGATTGGAAGATAAAATATAATACGGATGAGGAAAGAAAAGACGCTATCCGAAGATCCCAGACAAAATATGTGGTAAACAAAGAATGGTGTTGTGAAGTTTGTAAAGACGGTCATAATATTCATTGGCTGGCAAATGGAAGCATATAAAAAGCAAGATGCATTAACGCAACATAAGAGATTAACCACATTTTAACTTTGAATTATCCACATACTGGTTATTTCAACTTATTTAAACGCACTATTTTTAAACATTCAAAGATTTATCTTTAGTTATAGGATATGATGAATGGAAAATATAATTATGATAAGTGTATGAATAGGGCTGATCTCAAAAAGCTCAGTAAATCAAAACTGATCGAACTGTTGTGAAAACAGCAAGCAGAATCAACTCCCAAACTAAGCATAAAACAAATGGTGAAGCAGAGCGACATAATAATCGCGGATCGATGATAAATTAGTTTCTACCACAAAAAGGATAAGACCAATCCCAAAACCACGAAAGAGTGTCAAACAAATGGTGCAGGAGTATGAAGATAACATCTTTCCTCCACCACTTGAGTTTGGAGATGGGTACAAACCAATCCCAAAACCAAGGATAAAGAAGATGACTGTAGATAAACCAGTTCGAACAACAAGAGCCAAAATAGAACAAACAAGTAAAGCTCTGATAGGATATACGAAGTCATTTGAGACTGGTGTTAGTGACAATAAAGATCTATTGAGGCAACTTATGGACACAGGAAAAACTATTCAAATTCACCTCATGAAGCAAGTGGATAAAATGAAAGGTCTAAAATTTATTGAGACTTTGAGTGTCACATTTGAAAAGTATACTGAAGATAGTATAATTATCACAACAATATTCTTCAAAAACAAAATTAAAACAGTAATCAACACCAAAGATATTGATGAGGATTTGTTAATTTCAATTCAAGAGATTCAAAATAAGATTGATACATGGATATCAGAAGGCTTTAGTTGGACTATTAAATCAATGGACAGTCATTACATAAACATTGTTCGATACAACCCTCTGAAAGGATCATCATATATCCAACTACCTTCTGAATTGAGAAATTCTGCTATAGGATTGTTCAACCTTAAAAAATAATGACAATGAATGTTTCGGATGGTGTCATATCAGACATTTACACCCTCGAGAAAATTACACTCAGAGAATCGAAGAAAGTAATAAGCGATATGCGCAAAAGTTGGATTGCTCAGGAATTGAATTTCTAGTATCTGTAAAACAGTATACAAGAAACGAAAAATTTAAAATATTTATGTTAATGTATTTGGGTATGAAGAAAGAAACCATTCCCAATCTATTTATCAAAAGAATAATACAAAGATGAGATAAACCTTTTACTGATAAACGATGAAAGTGAAGAATTAAACTGGGGTAAGCCAACTGATGAAGAAATGAGACATGGATAGGTGATAAATACATTGGAAGATGTCGATAGGAAAAAATCTTACATGAAAAAAAGCATTTGTGGATCACTATGTACTTATCAAAGACTTTAACAAGTTTATGTCTAATAAAACAAGACATGAACATAGAAAGCATTTTTGCATGTATTGTTTGCAATGTTTCACCAGTGAAGATATATTGAACAAACATAAAAAATGTCTGTATCGCAACATATGGAAAGCAAACAATAAAAATGCCTGAAAAAGGTAATAGCATCTTAAAATTTAATAATTCCACAAACAATTACCAACACCTTTTGCCATCTATGCAGATTTTGAAGCAGTAACAGAAACGATTCAAGGATATAAACAAAACAATGATGAGACATATACAGAAGCATACAAAAAACACACAGACTGTGGGTATGGATATAAAATTGTATGCTGTTATGATGACAAATATAATAAAAAAATACAGATATATAGAGGAGAAAATGCTGTCTATAATTTCATGAAAAAGATATTGGAAGAAGTAAATTGGAATAAAAAAAACGATAAAAAAGCATTTCAATAAACCATTGATAATGTCTGATGAAGATAAAAAACGATTCAGTGCAGCTTAATAATGACATATTTGTGGCAAATCATACACTAAAAATATATTAGAGTTGAAGACCATCGTCACATTACTGGTAAGTATAGACGGTCGGCTCATTAAGATTGTAATATCAACCACTTCAGATTAAAGGTTGAAGAAATTAGGATACCAGTTGTCTTTCATAATCTGAGAGGTTATGACAGTCATTTCATCATGCAAGAGATTGGTGAAATAGCTAAAAAACATGCATTAAATCATAAAAAAGGTGCAGACAAACAGATGGACATCAATGAGATACCAAACAACAGGGAAAATATATGAGTTTCATTTTAGGCAAACATTTGGTATTACTTGAAAGTTTCCAATTTATGAGCTCAGGTCTTGATAAATTAGCAAGAAATTTTCCTGATGAAACATTCAAATATACATCAGACTTCTTAAATGATAGACGATTCAAACTTGTGAAACAGGAAGGTGTTCATCCATGTGATTACATGGACAGTT